ACCCCTTGGCAGCGCCGCTGGCCTCCGTAATGCCCTGACATTGCCCCCCCGGGGGCGTGCACAGGGAGCGCCCGCCCGCGAGCGCGCCCCGCTTCCCTGGAAGGCAGCGCTGTGACCTGAGGTGCCCAGCCCCGAAGGAAAACCAGCAGCGACGGGGAGCAGTTTTCGGGAGAATTTCTTTATTCGGCTGCACCGAAACAGTTTTTAGCACAGATGGCCTCCCGGGGGGCAGCATTAGTATTTGCTGGGAAGGCCTGCAGGTCTGTAGCGGTTGGGGTCCCCGCCGCTTCTGCCCCACGCGTTCGCCTCTTGGTCAGCTCGGGTGTCTTCTGCACCTCTGCCACTCACGTCACTTTGCCATTTTTCCCTGGCATCACTAGCAGGAAGAAAAAAGGCCTCCTGAACCAACCAACATTTAACCCCGCTTTGTGTTGATTTCCTCACTCGTATAAAACTAGCGTTTCCACGGGACTTCTCAAAGTGAGATGCAAGTGCATATTCAGTCCTTGTCTGAGAACCACAGTGGAATCCGTAACTGTTACGGCATGAAAATGAACCAGCAAGGAAAGAGAGTTCCTTATCAGCAGAAATGCAGAAATAAGGAGTCTGCCTTCTCGGGAGGACAAGAAGAAAGGCTCATGCTTATGTGGGAGGAGAGGCACCATTCCTACAGAGACAGGCGGGTCACACTGCTTCCCCTCCTCTCCACTGTCCTTCTAGGTCAAAAGCCGTGTACAAGTCAAAAAGGACTTCACTCTAACTGGAATGCCTGGATCCCTAGTAACTAACTGTTAACAAGCCAAATACGCTCCATTACCTGATCACTTTGGCTGCCCAAGCACCACCAGGTCCTCTCTGGGCAGCATCGTAATTCCCACGAGCATGGAAATACTTGTCAGCACCTTTATAATTTGCCTCGCGCATGTCCTGGTATGCTCTATACATATCCCGTGCCCCTGAAGAAAGCAGAGAAAAAGATGATGTTGAATTTAAAGAGTCATCCTAGAAATAGTTAAGTACCATTTCAGCCAGGAGCTCAAAAGCCCAAGGAGCAGTAACACAGAGAGGCACTTCTGCACATCAGCCTTTGCACAGGGGTGTGCCCATGGAAAGGCTCTGCAGGGGCTGATCAAGGCCCAGCAGCGGGAACCAGTGGGGTCCCTAATGTGGAGCTGCAGACCTCCCAGATCTGAGGACTGCGTCCATTGACTGCTGGTAACCTGTGCTTGGGGAGGGGGATTCCTGAGAGAAAGGCCTGTGGTAACAGCAGCTTACCTCCCACTGCATCCCAGATAAATCGTCCAGCTGGAGATATCAGTGGTATTTCAGCACTTGCACATAGAATAAAGGAGAGCAACACAACGCAGACACAGAGCCTCATGGTTCCCGGCCCAGGCCTGACACGGACCTGTGAGACAATCAGAGATGAGCAGTTCTAGAGCACCTTTGAGAGACTGCTGACATAGCACCCATCACACCCATAGCTGTGCCTGGCCAGCTGCCCCAGCGCTAATGGCTAGCTCAAGAACCCGCTCCTCCCTGCACAAGGAACGATGCCCTCAGTACGACCACAAGCTCAGCTAAGGACTCTGCAACAGAGGCAGATGGACATGAGAAACTGGCATTTTAGCATTCCCTGCTGCTCCTATCATGAGTGCAGAGAAGCCCCACATGCTAAAGCATTAGTCCTGTTCCCAAATACCAGCTAAAAACCACCGCATATAGCTCACAAATTCAGAATATAACTCACCACTACAGAAAGGCGAAGCCGAAGGAGATGGAGCTTGTCCTGTGTGCTCTCAGACTCAGAGAGGGTATTTATAAGCAATTCAAACCCCTCAGAAGAGGAAATTGGAAAGGATACCCATGGCTGGGAATTCCCCACGACCACTCCACTTCCACCACAGAAATCATTACAGTAAGCCTGTCCTCGTCCTTACTGGAAGTTCATAGCTCCTGTTACACAATTTTTTAGAAAGTATGTGGTGCTTCTTTGGCTGTCCATGGGACTATTTGCTCCTCATAGCAAGCAAGCTGAGAAACTGCCTTCAAGATTGAAGTGTTCTGTGTGCTTGAAGTGTTACAGTTGGCTTAAGGGTGACACTTTTGTTTGGCTCTTGTGCTGGACAGAGCTCAGAGGAGGAGGCACCTGATCGTCTGCACTGTGTGTTGAAGCACAAGGTTGAGTCTGTGTATGTGCAGAAGGAACAGTCAGCTGTGTTACCAGAATGGCTGCAGGAACTGCAAAGTGAAATTGCCATCTATGCTAACATGACAAGATGGGTCTCAGAGCTGATGGAATCAAAAATGTGAAGTGTTGCTCTTAACTCCATTGCAAAGCAAACTGCATACACCTACATCTCTGCTGATAATGATTTAAGATTGCACACACCCCCCCAAGGTAAAGAAGGCCTGAATGGTTCATCCTGTCTTTGCTCTCACAGATCCTTCTCGAGGGACTTCCAGCCATCCTGCTGCAACAGCAGCTCAGAGGGGCTCAAGTGGGCTAAACTAAGGAGAGTTTTTGATGCAGCAGCAAAGATTTTACCTAAAGGGAAGTTCAGATCCTTACAGCCACAACTCCGCTAGATTTTAAGATCAATACGTTAACTGTCAGACCCTATTGGCACAGTTCACAGTTTGAAAGACCCACTGTTCTCTCTCTGCTTAGGAGCCTGCTTGTTTCCCTTGGTTAACAACTGACACAGCTGTTTCCCCTGCAGAAAGCTCTAGGTTTGAGTGCAGTTGCACTGTGTGGCCTCATACATGATTTAACAAGTCTAAGAGACCTCTTTAAATTCTCTGCAGAAGAGGCAGGTGTAGTTGCCCCATTCACAACTCTGTCACTTTAAACAATTAGCTGCTGGAGCTGAAGAGCAGAGGCATGAGGTGAAACAGGGGCCATAACAAAACTGAGCTAATAAAGTGCCAGCAGCTAACTTCCTTGGGCATGGCTGGACTCCAGACAAGAATTTCGCTTAAGGAAAGAAAATACATTTTCCACAAACTTGAGCCGCAGGACAGATATTCTCTAATACACTATCTCTGAATGGAATAATTTGAGGTGAGAATCTAAATCCTAACCCAATGGACAAGGAAACCTTGCAAAAAGCAGGGGGTCAGACACATAATTTTGTCTCCTGCTGCCTGTGAACCTGACACTTAACAGCGTAACAGCACAGCTACTGCAGAGACTGGAGTGCTGTGTTTTTGCTGCAACTCTGTTCATGTCCTAGTGATGACTTACGCCCTTACAGCACACGTCAGCTCAAGTGCCTTCTCTGCTGGCTGCAAGTGGCCCTCTCTGTCACCTTTTTGGTTTTGATTTTAAAAAGAAAAAAGACTGGAAAATTATTCCTGTAAGTTGAGGTACAGGCTCACTAACACGTGCCATTTTGCCCAGGGACCTAGAAGAACATTGCATTCTAAACTGACTTAAGGAACTTCTCCCTACAAAAGCTCATACATTTTGGACCATAGAGGACATTTCTGAGTCTTCCGACATGGTCTGATGTGTTTCACATTCTCTCCAAACCAAAATTTTCTGCAAAGAGTACAAACATGGGGCTATTACAAGGCGGCAGGCGGTAGAGGGGATCTTTAGAAGATCTCGGATGGCATCCCCTTGGCTTGTCTCCAGTGAGCAGGGCAGCAGCAGTGACAATGCTGGAGCTCCCTACAGCAACTGAGCTAAAGCACCAGCTTTGTGCTCCACCAAGTGCAGCCCAAGCACTGCTTTCCCGTAGCCTCTTGGCCTGCTTTCCAGGTGACAGCCCTCAGCCCACAGAAACAACCTGCAGCCAAAACTGTTGCTTTTGCAACAGAAATAGGCAAGTTGCCTGTGAGCACACAGAAGGGTTTGAATGGAATTTTCCTTTCTGGCCCAGCACGAAAACACAGGCTGCGTGTGCACACTGGGTAAACGTAACACATATAGGGGCGCCCGGGAGACTGTCTTCTGGGTTTGTATAGTTAAGATAAAAGACAACTTCAAACTGGTTGCCCTTTAATTCTAAAGATCTGTAAATGCAAGCTACATTGTGCAAACATTCCACAATGTAGGCATTTTGCAATCTAAGTAAGTCTCAGATTAAGAAAGGGGACAAGGTGAATTCCCAGCTCAGGCACAGTAATAGATGCAGTTTTTCCTTATTCTGGGAAGTAATAGTACCTCATCTAAGTCTACATTGGCAATAATTCACTTCAGGAGTTTTGCCATGCTGCTGTATGGAATATTTACTAGCATTGGCCTCAGGCTTATCAACATGTAGAATGACTGCAGACCTGACTCCTCTTCAAGAAACAAACTGCATATACAGATATTTATCTTAAATAAAATTTATTTCCCCATAGGTTTGGATGATGATTCTAACAGTGAAATAATGTTTTGAGGCAGGTATGAGGCTTTTTTTTTTTTTTTTTTAAAAAACCCAAAACCTTTTTTTTCAGCTTCTATCTCAAGTTGCTCCGGGCAAAGCCCCCTTTATTCATCTCTGCTTTTCAAGGGTCCCCTCCACCAACAGTCAATCACCAAAACCAAAGATGAGCTGCAGCTCATCTGCTCCAGCCCAGGCTGGCTTAAACTATCAGTGGTGTCTGCTCACCTGGCTGACAAGAGCAGGTAGGGGCTGTAGCTTTAGGATGAGGGCATTGCCCTGTACAACTGTAACTGAAAACCATTTCATTTCACAGTCCCTGCGCCTTACCCATGTGAGATAAAAATACACATATCGATAATAGGAAACAGTGATTTTCCAATTCTTCTTCAAAGAGTAAATTCTTAGTCTTTATTGACAGCCAAGTTAGTTGAAATTATAAACACAAGCTCACTTTAGACATCATATTTTGGAACAAACACTTCCCATTATGTTAGCTATATGACCATTCTGACACAAAATTCTGACACAAAAGAAGTTCTGAATGGAAAGTTATGATTTATTGTAAAAAACCAAGAAACAAAAACCAGAAGAGCCCCAACCCTCACTCAGAGCTAACCAACTGTACAAAAACCCCACAGAAGTAAGAAAGAGACTGCTGTGTACACAAAATACACAGAGCAAATAAGTGGAACCGTTACATAAAGAGGTAAACCAGGTACATTCTTGAAAGCCAGCCAACTTCCTCTTAGGAGGACAACAGCAGTACTGAGCTAAAGCTGTACTACATTCACGCACTCTATGAAACACAACAGCCGCTGAGGTAGCAGCATGCTCGTTCAGTAGGTAAGAGAGCAGGAACCAGCATTATCTGATTTGTGTAACCTCACCACACACTGCAGGTGTCTGGCTCCTAGTCCAAGTCTTCCTGTAAGAGCATAGGGTGTTTCCGATAGAAGGATCTGTGCTCTTTCTAATGTCAAAAATCAAACCCCCCAAAATTTAATGTTTTTTAGAAGTAGTACTGTATCGGCTTTTCCAGAAGCAACACTATTAAACAGATGAAAGCCTGCCACTAATTGTCTTCCTGTAACTTCATTTCCTCTAGTGAAGTAACTAACCCTCCACAATAAAGTCTTTGTTGCAATTGAGATGAAATAGTTAGACTGCACCTCTCAAAAGTCTGAAAGTTGCACTACTAAGTCCTATTTTGATGAAAATAAAAGCATTCTTTTGCAGCACTACAAGTGCTTGGCTTGGACAGTGTGATGGTGCATTTCCCCCCCCCTCCCCTTTTCTGGGCCTCACTACAATCTCAGAAATCCATGCCTTAGCTTTTGTGTAATGAATTGGGCGGCTAAGCACCCCTTGATCATACCAGAAACTCTCTCACAGCTAAGGATGGAATAATACTGACGGTCCCAGCAACTCTGTCACCTAGCCAAGGCTAGAAGCAAAACAAGCCTCACTACACCCCTTATCTGAAAGGAAGCTCGACAAAACAGGCCTTGATACCTCTCTTATCTGAATCGTAGCTCGAGCAAAATACAGTATCATAGCTACTGAAATTTTGAGAATTCCAGCAATTACTGACTCGAATTGTGGCCAGGATGGAAATTCACTAATGACTAAAGCCAATCATCTCGCAAACCTATAAACAGCAGTCCTAAGTGAGACCCTTTGAGCTCCCCTGGACCACACCGGGCTGCAACCAGCATCTCCCTTGGAGCGGGACGCCTCTCAGAGCTCGCGAACTCTCAAGTTTGCAAAGTTCGGAGGATTGTTGCTGAAAGCAGACAATGGAGCCTGGGCCGAAAATCCTTCACTCCTCAAGGCTCAACCCTCGTCTGCTGAGAAATGCCAAGGCATTTGAAGTGAGTATTTCACTGAACCCGAGGGGAATTTCTCCAACAGGTATACTTATCTTTAGACATTTATCCCTTTATATGTGTATCTCTATACATCTCTCTTTCTCTCTGTGTCTCTGCTCGTGTGCCTGCATGTG